CAGCTGCTGCTGCTGTCACAGCTGCTGCTGCTGTCACAGCTGCTGCTGCTGCTGCTGTCACAGCTGCTGCTGCTGTCACAGCTGCTGCTGCAGCTGCTGCTATCGCTGCTGCAGCTGCTGCTGTCACAGCTGCTGCTGCAGCTGCTGCTATCGCTGCTGCAGCTGCTGCTGTCGCTGCTGCTGCTGCAACTGCTGCTGTCGCTGCTGCTGCTGTTGTCGCCGCTGCTGCTGCAGCCGCTGCCATCGCTACTGCAGCTGCTGCTGTCGCTGCTGCAGCTCTCGCTGCTGTAGCTGCTGCGGTCGTTGCTGCTGCTGCAGCTCCTGCAGCCACCGTCACTACTGCGGCTGCTGTTGCTGCTGCTGCTGCGCGCGCTTCTCTAATGAGGAAGGCCGCACGCGGGCTTTGCTGCCTGTTGCTTCTGCTCCCGCTACAGCAGCACTGCTGCTGCCGCAGACTTGGCGCTGCGGCTGCTGAACCAGCAGGGAACAGCTGTACGCAGCAACACCAGCAGCAGCAGCAGCAACTTCAGATTTTTTGTCTTTGACTTGGCGTTGCTGCTGCCAAGCCCTCGACACCTGCCTGCGCAGCTGTTCGCTTTGCGCTGTCAATCCGTTGCTGCTGTTGCTGTTGCTGCTGCTGCTGCTGCTGGGATGCAGGAGCAGCAAGATCAGCAGCAGGATTGAAATCCGCTCCCGCCTCGGCGCTCAGCGCTCCGGCGGCTCCTGAAGCAGCATTAGCAGCAGCAGCAGCAGCAGCAGCAGCAGCAGGAGCAGCAGCATTAGGCTTTAGCTGCTCGACTAACTGCTGATGTGCTTCAACAGCACTTTTTAGAGTTTTAATTATTTCTGTCGATAACTGAGAACGCCGCAAATGGCGAACGCGAAGTTGAATAGACCCAACCAACTTTGGGCGTTCCTGCAACAATACATAAACAAATAAATAAATAAATATATAAATGTTTTATTCATTTATTTATTTGATTTAGTTATTTAGTTTGCTTGTTTGTCTTGGGCATCTGCTCATTTACTATTTGCTTATTTATTTGCTCGTCGTGCTTATTTGTTTGCTTATCCACGTATTCAATTCGCTCGTTTGTTCGTTAGTTAATAAATATTACAATAAATAGCCTGGCAATTTATTTATTTATTGTCAGCTAATTAGTAGCTAGTGAATTCTAACATCGACGCAAATATATATATATATATAACAAATACATAGACAACTCAAATAATAAACAAATTAAATAAACAAATTAATTAATAAACGAATTAAATAATAAATAAGCAAATCAAACAAAGAAATCAAATAAAGTAGTCAAATAAAAATGCAGATGCAGTCACAGCAGTGAAACGCCTAACAAAACGCCAAAGAAAATCTAACACGCAGCAATACCCTAAACCCTGAACCCTAAACCCTAAAACCTAGACTCTAGAAACTAAACCCTCAACCCTCAATTATCAGGCCTAAACCCAAAACCCTAAACCCTAAACACTAGACCCACCGGCCATCCATTTATCAACTCGACGAATTCCTGCGCACGCAATCGGAACCCGAATACCCCAAGAGATGAACGGGGGAATCTCTAAACCCTAAACCCTAAACCCTAAAACCCTAAAACCCCAAACCCTAAACCCTAAACCCTCACCGCGATGGCGGGCCGCAGATCGCAGACAGCTTCTCCTGCCTTTGGGCTCGCGAATGTCAGCGCAATTAACATCGATGAACTCTCAGCCCACTCTGCATCCTGCAGCACAAACCTTAAACCCTAAACCCCAGACCCTAAAACCCTTAACCCTAAACCCTAAACTCTAGACTCTAAACCAAAAACCCTAAGCCCTAAACTCTAAGCCATAAACACTTACACCATACACTATAAACCCTGAACCCGAAACACTTAAACCGTAAACCCTGGACCGTAAAGCCTGAACCCTAAACCCTAAACCCTAAACCCTGAGACGCTCCTCGCCTCTGAATGCGGAAAAACGGAAGGGGTTGCTGTTTTGTGTTTACCTGTGAGGGGAATATGAGGGGGAGAGGCCTGATGGTCATCTGCAGCTCTCTGCTGCTGCTGCTGCTGCTGCTGCTGCTGCTATGACTCAGCCGCTCTAAGGAGCGAACTAAATGCCGCACCTTCGACTCCACCCATCCTCTCCACTTGCGCTGTACCTAAACCCCAATTAAAATGCAAAACCAAAAGCAAACAACGCGTGCTCTCCTGCAGCTGTTGCTGTTCTTGTTGCTGCTGCTGCTGCTATGACGGCTGCTGCTGCGACCTCTGCTGCTGCGCTATACTCGCCATATTAACTCGGCCAGCAGCAGCAGAGGATGCAGCAGCATCAACAGCAATCGATGCAGAAGCAGCAGCGGCAATACGAGCAGAAGCAGCTGGAATACCAAATAGTAACAAGGACAACAGCTGCAGCAGCGTCAGGAGCAGCAGCAACATGAGCAGCGGCAGCAGCAGGATAAAATGTCTTCTTACAGCTTCGGATTTAGCTAAGACTTGCAATTCTAAGAAGTGGCTGAACATTGCCATATAATCCACCGGGGTAAGTACATCAAGCAGCACTTCCCTCCACGCCTGCAGCGTCTGCTGCGGTTCCTTTGCTGCTGCTCCTGCTGCTGCTGCTCCAGGCGCTGATGTTGCTGCAGGAGCTGCTGCTGCTGCCCAAGCCCCGAAGCGCTTTGCTGCGGCTTCAAGCTCTTCAGAAATTACTCTCTTCGTTGAGTAAGAAACGTTGTGAGTAGAATTCATCGCTGGAAATGCAGGCGTTATGATCTTCAGCAAATGATGACGGTCCTGAAACACAAACCCTAAACCCTAAACCCTAAACCCTAAGGAAGGTGTGGCTTAAATGAAAAGACATGTATGACCTGAAATAGATGCAAATGGCGGGCGATCGTCTTCCTTCTCTTGTGGTTAGGGTTTAGCGTTTGTGGATTAGGGTTTATGAATTAGGGTTTATGAATTAGGGGTTATGAATTAGGATTTACGCATTAGGGTTTATTGTTTATAATTGGTTGTTTATGGCGTATTCCTTTTGATGCATTTTTTATGCATTTCATGATTAGTTGTCTATGAAAAGTTGTTATTGGTTTATTGTCTGTATCATATGATTATTTTTACTTATTATTGTTTATTATTTACCGTTTGTTATTATTTACTGTTTATTGATTAGTGTTTGTTTATTATATACCGTTTGTTATTGTTTACTGTTTATTCTTTACTGTTTATTGTTTACAGTTTACTGTTCAGTCTAGTGTTGTTTGTTGTTCATTATTTATTATCTATTGTTTATTGTGCGGTGTATTAGGACTCCCAGCATGCATCCACCCTGTCGTTTATTCTTTATCAAATAATATAGTCGAATTAATGATTTTGCGATTATACTTGTTAGTTAATTGTGTGTTATTGGTTGTTTATTAGATGATTTCCAGTGTAAATAGACCTTATTGCATATTCTTTATCATATAAATAGTGCTTTCTATTAAGTGGTACTTCCTATGTAATTACAGTTTGTTGTAATATATGATTTCCAGTGTACGTCCACTCTACTGTACATTCGTTATTATACAAATAATGCTTTTTAAGTCAATAAGGCTTTGTAGTCGACAAACACTCCCTATTTATTGTTGCTACTAGTGAAGGTAATAGAGATTTCCATAAACTCCACTTAACTGTATATTGTTTATTATATAAATGCTGCTTTCTATTAAATGTATATTTTGTGTTTTATGTTTAAATGAATAGACTTCGTTAGTCTCGTCTGCACATGGGCATTTCCAGTGTACATCCACTGCAGGATATAATCTGTATCACAAAAATGATGATTATATTAAAAGAAGTGTTCACTTTAAACATCCATGAAGAGAGGTTGTTTGTCTCACCTGCACATACAGCTGAGGATTCCAAACTTTGAATTCAGGAATTCCTTTGATTGTTTGCGGCTCTTTGATTTTACATAGACAAACTGGGCTTCTACTCCACGCCCACTGCGTATACACCGTAAAGAATCGCTGAACGAGAAGAGAAGGAGGGAAGTTTGGATATAATTGACAGCATCTAGCAACAAGAATAGCCCAGCTGATACCTCCTAAATACCCCATTACGTTGCTGTACACCCCACGGGCCTTTGCCCATTGCTTGATGAAACGCAAACTTGTCCTGAAAACTGTTGCATTAGGAACTAACTGCAGCAACAAATCTGCAACGCGAGAGCCATTTAAACTCCGCGCTGTCTTCTCGTCTGTATGCCGCAGCACTTCATCTGCGCCTAAGCCAACCCACGAGCTCGGGATACACCGCAACGCCAACCGGGCAAATAATAAATCAATCTCTACCCCCGAAAATTTAAACTTCAACACTGGGGTGTATGCATCCGGAACAGGAGTTATATTTGTTACGCGAGGATCTTCCTGTAATTTTAGAAGAAATGCAGAAAAGAAGGCCTCCCGGGAGACGTGCTTAGGGCAGACACAAAGTGCATCAATGTCGCTCCCAGGTGTACATACACCCAAACGATAGGAACCAAAGGTAAAGATCTTCCCCCCAGCCTCTCGTGCTTCTGCAGCGTCTAAACCCTGTTCAATTCCACACTCAACTATCCACTCTCCTAGCAGCTTATTCAACTCTGCAAGCACTGTCTCTTTCTCGCGCGCTCCTGCTGCTGTTTCATACACCCCCTGGTGTCGCAACACCCGCACTAACTCCACGCTTTTATGCAAATCTGCTGTGGATCCTGTCTTAAGGGATATCGGCCGAGTTAAGCCAAAACGATATCCAGCAGCAGTCGTCACCCGAGGCCCCTCCCCCATCACATACGTCTCCAATGAATGAAGAGTTGAAGAACCTCGAAAACCAGGAAGAGATCCTCCTGCTTCTCCTGCTGCTGCTGCTGCTGCGCCGGATGCTGCTGCTGCTGCGCCGGATGCTGCTGCTGCAGCTGTTGTTGCTGCGCCAGATGATGCTGCTACTGGTGAGGAAGAAGAGCCAGGCTGAACCCAACGCTCCGCGGCGGAACCGCCAACAAAGCCGCTGGAAGAAACGCCGCTTTCGCATGCAACACTTCCACGAACAGCTCCAGCAGCACCAGCACCAGCAGTAGGAGCAGCAGCAGGAGCAGCACCAGCACAAGCAGCGCCACCCGAGGGGGGGGGCGGTCCACCTCCTGGAGGCGCTCCCGTAGAAGGAGGTGTTGATAATAGACAGGAAGAAGTAGCAGTAGCAGCGTTACCTGATGGTTGTATCATTGCTGTTCTGTACGCAGCAGCAGCGGCTGCTGCTGCTGCTGTCGTTGCTGTTGCAGCACTCGCCGGACCCCCAGGAGGCAATCGGGGGGTCGGCGGGTGTAGCTGCTGCATTCGCTGAAGTTAAAAAGAAAAATATAAACAAGTGAAAAGAAATACAACAGCCAAGGCACCCCTGCACGGAGGTGAGGTGTATGGACAGCTCGGGCTGAAGGGGGTGCCGTTTGTTGTGCGGCTGCGAGGAAACAGAGGCTTCTAATGAAGTTTTTAGAAGTAAAAAGGGGCAAGCGTGAAATAATGAATTAAGTGCAGCATTTTCCGCTCATTTTAACGACGCGACAAACTCCATTGCCGCCGCTGTTGCTTTCTGTAGACGGCAAGGGTTTAGGGTTTATGGTTTAGGGTGTAGCGAGTTGAGTAAAATAAACTTGTTTCAGGAGGCGATTAATCCCCTCTGCCTTTTTTTCGTTGAATTAGATCTTTCTACCCCGCTGCATCCTAATTTATTGCTCCTTTTCTCTTCTGCATGCGTACAGCTGCCACAGAAGCAAGAGAAGCCTCGCAGCCCCCTACTTACGGCGCATATACACCTCAATCACCAAATAACAGCAGTAGTGAGTTTAACCGAAATAGCGTAGTTCTTCTTCTCCCTTTCCGGGGTAATTTCAGCAATTTAAAGACAAGGAGGGAACCCACTTCCCTTGTCGTCTCCCTCCTGGCGGTGCTGTAGCGTGGCAGGTTCTCTTGCGGTGGTGGAGGTGAGCGCTTAAAGGTCTCCTTAGAAATATTAATATCGGTAAATAAGCAATTCAAATACATGTACTCTGTCTAGGAATTCGAATAAGTACTCCTCTGGTTGCATGCAAGGTTTTATATATGCGACCCTTGCAACACCTAAGAAGCCCGCACACCACCATCTACGCAAGCTGAAGTCCTTCTCCGTGTACTACGCATCTCACTTGAACTCAGCAAGTTGCATTTCCCTCATCTGGGCAGCAACCAGAACATACGAACACCTGCTGCTGCTGCAGCTTATGCTGCGGCGGGTGCTGCTACCTATGCGGAAGTCGTCGTTCTGTGCTGAGGACGCACGTGAGCTGCAGAAGAGTTAAACATTTGCGAAACGAGCTTCTCAGAAACTACAGGCCTCACCTTCAGTTCCAAAGTTTGCTGGAAATAAAGCCACAAAGCTCGGGGGGAGCGTTGCGGAGTGAAGGCGACTGTTAAGAGTTGTAACGCACCTTACTGGAACTCCTGCCGCAAGGCAACGCCACATGCAAGCATACCCATAATGCACGCTCTACCACCGTACATAATCATTATCACCTTCATGATACGCCTATGCCGTCTAACTGCTCCCTCCAACACAGCGAACGCAGCCGTATGCGTGGGTGCCGAAAGCAGCACAGGTGAGGGACTGCGAGGGGTCAGAGCCTACAACAAAAAAAAAGAAAAGAAAAACAGCATATTGAAAAGAACAAGCTGCATATTCTGAGACCGCTTTTCTGTGCTGCTGATGCGTTGGATCGCACGGCGCTGCGGCAGGACGGAACAGCTACAGGTCACCACGGAAGCTCTCCACTGGTCTCTTTTGGGAGTCACGTTATATTATGGGTATCCCAACCTAATGGAATTTTACCTTGGACTACCGCCGACGTGCAGCATTAACGCAAAGAGGGTTCGGATCAGCCTCCAACGGTGCCCAATAAAAAAGAATGGAACCAGGCGAATTCGTGGCTGTGCAGCTGAGCTAGCTGTAGGTAAAGGAAAAGGCGAAGATAACAGCAGAAGAGGGGTTATCGGTGGAGAACACGTAGATGTAAAGATGATGCTCATGCACTAGACCCAATTTAATGGAGCGCTGCTCATGCTGATGCTTCTAGTGGGTGGTGCTTAACCCAGGAAGGAAAATAGATGCGCCTGACTGTCTAACAGGAATTGCCTCGCACAAGTTATCTTCAAAAGTTCACACGAGTATTCGACATCGTGGCCATGTAACCTAATGCTAATTTTTTCTGTGTTCTTTTCTAGTTGCTGCGCGTGCTCCCAGCATCTGAGTCTCCGGTAGTTACTCCTCTTTGCAGTGGCATTGGAGGTTTTTTTGCGGGGAGAGAGAACTCGTTTAAGCCTAGATGAATGGTATTATATCTTCACGGTAGGTGTGATTCTACGATATAAGCGAACCTGCTCAACGGAGGACAAACGACGAAGGGCCCTAGCCGACGGGTGGCCATGCACGAAAGGTCGCCCTCCTGCGCATGTGGAAAAGAGTGACCACTGCGCAAAAAAGGCTGCCCAATGTTGGTAATAATTGTCAAAGGCCTTATGTCGTAGTTCCTGCCTGGAATTTATGTGCCTTTCTCATACCTTCCCGCCCTGCTGCAAGCTGTAGATGGAAGTTAGCGGCTTTAGTAGTACGTGGCTGGCTTCCAGCTGCCATGTTTATTGTCGGGCAGCGAACGGTGTTTCCATGTAGCCCAGGGATTTCGGAGAATAACTACTCGACGGATGTTCGGTTGTAATATAGATCCATTCCGCAAAAGGGAAAAAGTCAAGCTACTTCCATGAATTGTGCTGGGTGTATAGTTGCAAGCGTGCGGCTGTTGCGTTTAGTTTCACCGCTTGCCTCCTGGTGTGTTCGCGGTGGTCCTGTTACGGTTGAAATTGAGCAGCGTCAAGAGTATCCAACGAAAGGCGGTAACGAGCTTCATGCGCCTGCCCGTAATATAATGATGCCTATGGAAAGTAGTGGAGCTTCCAGACAAGCTTACTGAATAATTCGTACACACCTTGCGCTGCCAGTAGACTTCAGTCGGGGAAGAAGTGGGCGTACGTGCTGAGTCTATTCAGATAATGTGCGGGCAACCGCATCCTGTGTAAGATGGTAGTCCCACCCAGAAGTTCACTGAGATGACATTCCAGATGCCTTCACGGGTCGGAACCCTCTGCAGGACTCCTTGTTTGTAAATATCCCGCCTCTTTAGCAGGTGAGTGCTCGGGCGTCTCCTAGGCCACCAAAAGGAAATAACCGCTCTATCAACCATCGTGTTGACCGCCCCACTTCTTGCTAGATCCCTACGCAAATCGTCTATGCGAAGCGAAGTTGGGCTATACAATCGGCGAAATCAATGCTTCGTTTGGTACCACAGGGGGTGGCTATTCCTATTTTTGTGATTAGCCCGTGGCCAGTTGTTGAGCTTAGCAAGGATCGCAGCCACGTGAGTGCCTAAAGAGTCAGAAAGCGCTTCTTGGACAGAAAACGGGAATCATCGCAGGCAAGCACAATTGCGGAACATAGGGCTTGACTAGTAAGGCATCAGGAAAGCGCATTGGCGACAAAGTTGTTCATATCTTTGATGTGCCTGCCTTTGAAGTCGTACTGCGCTAGCTGGGAATGCCACCGAACGGCTCCTTTATTGAAACAGTTAGAAAAGCCATATAAGTAATGCCGAGAAAATGCACCATCTTTGCTCATGATAGTTCCATCGATATCATATCCGATATAATCAAGCGCACGGAGTTCTCTGGAACAAAAGTAGAGGCGCTGGTTGTTCTTGCGGGTGTGGGCTCAATGCTGCCTCGGCAGCACACCAGTGGGACACGGCAATGGCAAGGGCGATGAAGGGTATACTCAACAAAATAATTGGGTTTGTTATAGTTAAAATGCGTCCCCTCAATTGTTTTCCAAATAATGCAGCCTTTTCGTAGACATGCAACGCGTGCGCCACACGTTGGACCTGCGCGCACGCATGAGTGACCTCAGCGGGAGCAACGGAGCGTTTCGTCTTTTGAATGGAATGAATCAGTTTTTAGACATTGAAAACAAAATTTCTCAAACAAGTTTCCTTTACTTAACGGGTTCACGCAGAACAACTAGACAAATCTACGGGAACTGACTTATCAGGTGTGGGGGCCAATATGAGATTAATAGAGCGGTCCCACTATAGAGCCATGTATGCAGGAGATTGAGACCGAACGAGAACGGCAGCAGCACGCCCAAGGCGGCACCAGTTCAACTTCACCTCGAAAGCAGAGACTGCCAATAAAGCTGAGCCTCAACGCATTTCGAGGAGAACTAGCTAGCTCGGAATTCGATAAGCATTTTACCGCTATTGGAGAAGAAAGACAAGGCGCAGCAAGCATGCCGAGATGCCTTGCGGCTGCTGCAGCTGTCCTCCCTATCTTAGCCCGGTTCCTATTTTGCCTTGAAAACTTCATCATCCTATCAAAATAGCCATCGAGGGCTTTCTCACTTGAGTGCTCCTCTCCTGGGGGTCCACCACTTGGGAGCCCTTACCTGGGTGACCCCCAACTGGTGGTCCGCCAACTGCGGGCCCCAAAGATAGTCAACTGAGACGAAACAAAATGAGCTAAATAGCCGAGGAGCAACCAGATAGGCAGAAGTGCAAGCGTCAACGGGCACAGATAAACGTGTGACGGAGAAGCAAGACTAGAGAATGGCAGAAGCAGAAGGACATGCGAATGAAATGGGATGGGGGGCAATGGGAACACAACGAGATATGGATAGAAGCAAAGAGAAAACGACAAGAATATGTAAAAAGCACAACTACACACAAATAGCAGAGGAAACAGATAGAAACACAGACAAGAAGACAGGAACATGTAAAATGCTTAACTCAACAGATATAGACGGGGAAACAGAGGCAGAATCAGGAATACGCACGGTGACAGAACAGAAATCAGGAGGAGAGAAACACAGCCAACCAACTGAATTAGTTCTGTTGCCGGCGGCACAGCTGCCTGGGGGCCCATCAAGTGGACCTCCTGCCTCTTGCAGAAACAGCTTCTGCCGCTTTCCACCTACCCTGCTATTTATTGCTGCGTCTGCTACACTTTAGCTTTTGCTGAGGGCCGCGATCCTGTTTTTTTGGTTGTGGTTGCTGGGTCAGGTAACTAGAGGAGAGACGGCAATATCAAGCGTACGAATTGTGGGACAGTGTTGTTCCGCATTGTTGGGCTTAGGGCTTCGCCCATATTCGTCGGTTCGTAGTGCGTGGAGGGTTTTCATTCGTAGACGAGCGTTGACTGAAGAATTTGACTTCACCTTAGCAGATGGGGGAGCTGTGTGAGTAAAACGAGGAGTATGAGAAGTA